AAGAACCAGCCGACAACTAGCTTCTCGCCACCCTTTCCAGTTGCAATGGCCACTTGCTCGGACAGCACCGAACTACCTACTGAGGTCATTCCCCTACACCCTCATTGCGGCATGAAACGACATTCCTGAGCAAGCCATCCCGGAACCTCCGGCATCGAAGGGAATGCAGGCCTTCAAGTCTCGCATTTGTCAGCACCTAATGCGCCAAGATTGGTCGTGGGCGACAGCATTCCATGGCTAAATTTGACGAAGTTCCATTCTCCAGTCCCACAACGATCACCTTGTCTTCACCCCACTGAACTGTACCTTGCTCCCTAGACCTCTCGAATCACCTCAGTGCAGAATGTGTTTGCGTTAATGTTTATTTCTTCTCTTCTTTCCTTTTCACTGCTTTTCGTGGCTCCTTTCTCGCTGATCCAGTGCCTGCACACTACTCTGCGTGGCAGCAGCTCCGATCTAACTTCTCCGTATTCCCCCTCACTGAAAGCAACGCAGCTGCTGGTCCATTGCCATAGTTTCCTGAACCAATCTGGCACTCACTCACTCACCCTCACTCACCCGCCCCCGCCCCCCTCTCTTCCTCTATCTCTCTCTTTCTCTCTCTTTCTCTCTCTCTCTCTCTCTCTCTTTCTCTCTCTCTCTCCCTCTCCCTCTCCCTCTCTCTCTCTCTCTCTCTCTCTCTCTCTCTCTTTCTCTCTTTCTCTCTCTCTCTCTCTCTCTCTCTCTCTCTCTCTCTCTCTCTCTCTCTCTCTTTCTCTCTCTCTCTCTCTCTCTCTCTCTCTCTCTCTCTCTCCATCATTGTGTGGCTCTCAGGTTCTCACTCTTCCCACACAGTCTTTCTTCTCTCCCTTTCCCCCATGGTGCGTGATGTGCGCCTTGATCCCGAGACCATTGTTCGGGGGAGCGCACTTCACTTCACCGGCACAGCTCAATAGCACCTACACGCCCATTGTAGTCCCCTATGTTCTCTTGATGTTGTTGTTGTTTTTCTCTTCCATTCTATATGTAGGCATGTGCACTTTCATAAAAAAAATAAAAAAAGACATTAAGGTAGCTCGTCGCTCTAGCGCCAACATACAAATGTACAACATACATGCCCATGTATTTGTTCTGACAGTTCATATTGATGACTATCTGGCACTTTCCGAATTGATTGTTTGTACGTTTGCTTGCGTTGCCATGGTTACTATTGTTCAGCACGGAGTATAGTTTGGATTTTTCTCTTTTGTAGATTGTAGTTGCATGAGCACCATTGAGTGATGATAAAGCTACACGATGTTAGCTGATTGATTCATTTTATTTTAAATTGTTTCAAAGCAACTATGTCCACTGTTGGGAAAAATTAATCAAAAAGATGCCATTGATGTGCTGTTAGATGCACAGTGCCTTCAGTAATGTTCGGCTGAAAGTGATAAATCCATTATGGCATGGTTGGGCGGGCAATAATCTGTAGCAAAGTCAGTAAAGCTGTTGGCTACCTCGTGTCTCACTGCTCCCACCTACCGCTTGAATGCATTCGCCTTTTTTACCATTGCTATATTCTCCCCATTTTTCTCTATTGCTCAACCGCCTGGTCATCCCTACTAAGTAAATCGTTAATGAGTACCCTGGAAGTCCACAATAGGAGGATACTGAAAGTCCTTTTCCGAAAACCATCATACTTTCCTTCTGCCGAGCTGTACGATATGTTTAACACCTTCCCTATCTCTAGTCAAGCGGATCGAAAACTGTGTATCGTTGTTCATTCTATTCGTCTTGACAAAGCCCCGCCACACTTGCGTAAATATAACTGGTTTCTTCCCACTCGTCCTACGCGCAATCCCTGCACTTTACCTAAAGCCCGAACCTCAGATCATACCAGATCTCCGTTTTTCGCTGCCTATTCTCTCTGGCTGGCCCTGCCTCTATCAGTAAAATCGTCTTGTACGCTAAAGGATTTCAAGGCCAACATGAAGCTCGTGTTCTAATAACTCCTAATTCTTCATCCAGATTTGTTTCTCTTTGCCTCCAGTAATGTGTAATATTTATTTATTTTTGCTTTGTTTTTGTTTACAGCCATGGCTGGCTACCGCCCCCTCCCTCCATATTGGCCTATATTCTCTGGCCACGGGAAGGTGAAATAAATAAATAAATGGATTTTCAGTGCCCTCCAAGTGAGCCCACGGGCCTAGGGCCTCAGGCTCACTTGTCGGGCACTGAAGATCCATTATTGCCCTCCCAACCATGCCATAATAGATACATACTGACTCTTGAAATATGAGATGGCGCACTAATGAGCCGCGCTTGTTAGGGCCGATTCCCACTACGGTACCGTGAGTGCCGTGCCGTGAGTACCCATGGTGATTTGCTCACGTAAGGGGCAGTTTTGGCGCGAGTTCATTCCGTGGCTCCTGCCGTACTGCGCCGTGGACATTCCGGTGCCGAGGGCCTCTGGGGGGTGGAAATGGCATGCCGTGGTATTCCGCAAGGTCGAATGCAGTGAGTAGTAGGTATATTACTATTCCCTGGAAGGAAGTTTTTTCTTTCTTTTGTATTTGTGGTGCGAAGTTTTTTCTTGGCTTTTGGCTTTTCGATTGGTTGATTCTTGAGCTTTCTCCAGTCATCTCCCCGGCCCCCGCTATTTTCCCTCAGGATCAAAGTCAGAAATTGATTAAAAAAAATGGTGATCCGGCCTGCCGACAGAATGCACGGAATGACTGTGCGAGGGTGTAAACCACTCTCAGCTTCAAGCTCGTACCGTGGGGTACACTACACTGTTTTTATATGACATTATCTTTCTTTACGGAGTTGTTGTTGCTGTTCGTTTTGCTACTCTTTCTTTTTCCCTCCCCTTATTTCTATTTATCGCCGTGGTTGGCAATCACCCACTCTCGTAACATTGGCCGGTGTTTCCGCCGAGTCTAGAGATGTTGTAATAAATAATAATAATAAGGCCAAAACAAAAAATAGGCTTGTTTCCGGTCGGCAACCCCTCAAAAAGGAGACTCGGTCGGCCGGAATGAAACTTTTTTTGGATACTTTTTTTGGTTCCTCAATCATTGTGGTATTGATGGACAAGAGCACCTACACATGTACATTGTACATTATATCATGGCAAGGATCAATGTCAAAGTTAGTTGACTGACTCACTGTTCTTGTACAGCATGTGGTGTATTCCTGTTTTCGTACACCCTGAGAAATCAAGCAAACAGTTCGAGTCCCTCCAGCTCCGTTATTCTGGCTCGTATCGACCCCGGAGGTTTTCGAACCGACAGCTGAGAAGCTCCGCTACCTTGTAGGTGTTTCGATTGTGGAATTCGGTTGAGATTTGACTGAGTTATGACTCGTTGAATGCACTTGCACACATGGCATTGCCACCGTTTGCATACATTTGGGACCAAAAAAAAAGTTTCAGAATTTGGGAAAAAGTGGCCCGGTCGGGCGACCGGAAACAAGGTCATTATTTGTTTTGGCCTAATAATACATGTTCAATGGATCAGTTGGGGAAGTGAACTGCCTGAAAATAGAAAAAAATCGCCAGACCCACCAGGACCCGAACCCGGGACCTTGCTTGTCATGAGCAAAGCTCTAACCACTGAGCTATGGGACCGGGCTGAACCTAGAAGGCGCTGACAAGATTTTCACTCCAAAGGCAGCTCACAACACGTGCCACACATACTGATGGCACTTGGGTCTTTCTCCCTCCCCCAGGGGACCAACCACGGTCAGTTTCTGGACCCTACCAGAAGTGAAAGAGAGTGATAAATTTTGGACGGATTGGGAGAACTTCAAATTCAATGGATCAGTTGGGGAAGTGAACTGCCTGAAAATAGAAAAAATCGCCAGACCCACCAGGACTCGAACCCGGGACCTTGCTTGTCATGAGCAAAGCTGTAACCACTGAGCTATGGGACCGGGCTGAACCTAGAAGGCGCTGACAAGATTTTCACTCCAAAGGCAGCTCACAACACGTGCCACACATACTGATGGCACTTGGGTCTTTCTCCCTCCCCCAGGGGACCAACCACGGTCAGTTTCTGGACCCTACCAGAAGTGAAAGAGAGTGATAAATTTTGGACGGATTGGGAGAACTTCAAATTCAATGGATCAGTTGGGGAAGTGAACTGCCTGAAAAGAGAAAAAATCGCCAGACCCACCAGGACTCGAACCCGGGACCTTGCTTGTCATGAGCAAAGCTCTAACCACTGAGCTATGGGACCGGGCTGAACCTAGAAGGCGCTGACAAGATTTTCACTCCAAAGGCAGCTCACAACACGTGCCACACATACTGATGGCACTTGGGTCTTTCTCCCTCCCCCAGGGGACCAACCACGGTCAGTTTCTGGACCCTACCAGAAGTGAAAGAGAGTGATAAATTTTGGACGGATTGGGAGAACTTCAAATTCAATGGATCAGTTGGGGAAGTGAACTGCCTGAAAAGGGAAAAAATCGCCAGACCCACCAGGACTCGAACCCGGGACCATCAGACCCAAGTGCCATCAGTATGTGTGGCACGTGTTGTGAGCTGCCTTTGGAATGAAAATCTTTACAGCGCCTTCTAGGTTCAGCCCGGTCCCATAGCTCAGTGGTTAGAGCTTTGCTCATGACAAGCAAGGTCCCGGGTTCGAGTCCTGGTGGGTCTGGCGATTTTTTCTCTTTTCAGGCAGTTCACTTCCCCAACTGATCCATTGAATTTGAAGTTCTCCCAATCCGTCCAAAATAATACATGTAATAATAATAATAATAATAATAATACACGTGACCTACCCAAATCGTCGGCACGGCACTCACGGTACTGTAGTTGGAATCGGCCCTTACTCGAAGTGCACTTACCTCTGGTTCTTCTAGAAGACAGGGGAATTGGATGAAACCCAGAAGTAGGACATAAGCAATGTGCACAGTATCACCTGTGAAAGTAATACTTTCATGACACTAACATTCAGTGACTCTCTTCTTTGTTTGTGTCATCAGCTGAATGTTCTGTAGACTCTGGTTTGCGGGTGTTTATGTCCACCAACGCAATGGCCGGATCTCTTCTAGCCAAGCTCCCTACAAATTTCTCTAGTACTACCAAGACCATCCAAGACTTTGATCATCTCAACCTCACTTCAACATTGACGATAAGGACGTATACCAAAGATGAAAAAGGCCTATTCATCAACACAGTTTCCGAAAGGGCACTTAACTTCACAGGTGCGCACCGATTGTTAACCAAGGCTGTCGATAGCAATGGTCACAACTGTTCGTACTACATCGATATCCGGCGACATTCGGCTCCTCAAATCAACGCAGCACCAGCCAGCATCGAGCTGACAGACAATGGTGCGATCCTAAATGTTACAAAAGTCGATGTGGTAACGACAAAGCCAGCCACTGGTCTTTCAAATTTGAGCATCTGCAATGCATCCGAGCTAACCCTGAAGGCGATGTTTGATTTTCAGAATGTCGGCGAATTGAAGTACATGCTAATAGCAAACGCGTCTGGCATATATGACTCGATCACGGGTGATCATACTATCAATTTGACAATCTGCGCTGTGGATAACATCATGAACGAAACGCAAAGTGTTGAGACCGATTCTGGCTACAAAGCTTGGCACAATGGTGCAGCAAACATCTCGATTTCAATTCTCCTCAAGAAAGTCGAGTCACTAGCACCTTATACAACAACCACGTCCAAAATTTACACTGGATCACCTTTAACCCCCAACGACACGGTCACTATGAACACACCCACAGCGCTCCGACGCTCCCAGTCTAGTTCACCGACAATTCTCCGATCCACCCATGTACCTCGCATCACATCATCGGTTACTGAGAGCATTGTAAATTCAACTGCAAGTGAATTCGGTTCAACTACCATAACGGAACAAGATTCGTGGCCCAGCAACCAGGGTGAGTGGGGATATTGTGTCGCCTGATATATTGGCCCAAAGGATTATGGAAACCGCTGTTATCAGTGACAATTTATTCATTATTTTCCTGTTCGCCTGCATCGGAAATTGGAATGATATTACCGTCGAAGATGCAGGTCATATCATTATCCGTTTGAACTTTAGATGAGCCTCAGACGTATTGTTGTTGGCTAAGCTAAAGATTGTATTAATATGATTGTGGTCTTTCTATTTATTTGCAGCTTCTATCTCGTCTACAGCGACAACGCTAGGTGAGTACAGATACTGTGGTATATATTGGTGGATATTTTGATAATTATAAGCTATTGTGAGACAAGAAGCGCTGTGTCACCTCTCTACATGCTTCGTTTTGCCTTATCATTTGTAGGAAAGGGTTTGCTCCCCCGCTGGAGATAGCGCTTTTCCACCGACTTGACTGTTAACTTGACTGACTCATGACGGCAATAACGAGCACACGAGAAATCCATTGTACCTTCGTCTCTGCAAACCTGCAAGAACGTTGCGTAGCTTTCACTATAGAACCTCGCACTAAAGTACGTATTCTAATCTTCACTATCGATAAGTCGCGAAAATGGTATAGTTTATTTGGGCGTGGGAGGCGATGGTTCTCGGATAGCTTCTGTTTATATCTGCTGTAATTGCGCGCTGAATGTTAGCATGTCTTTATTATTATTGTTGTGCTTTCTAATGCAGGAAGTGGTGCTAGTGGTGAAGGATTGCCTCTACAGACTGTGACCGGTTAGTGCGATGGTGTGTGTGCGTGTGACATCAGTTGGCCATTCTATTTTAGGACTTTCGTATTAAAAAAAAAGAAGAAGAAGACAAAAGAGAGCAAAGTCAGAATTCGTATCACAGTGCGAAGACACAAGCTTGTTGGTGATTATTAGGCCGAGGCTTAGCACCGATCACTGCACAGTATTTGAAGTGGCTTTACGTCGCGTATTGTGAAGATAATTTACCTTGCAGCTTATCACAATGCAAATTGAATGGACGGACCATGGTGAAGTTGTTTCAACATTAAAACTGTGTACAAACGACATGAGCAGGAGAAGCGTCGCCGATAGGAGGAACGGATCTCCAACGTAGAGCACGCTTCCTTCTCACCAGTTGCCCTGTCCTGCACTGGAGGGTATGGCAAAGCTGCGACAGCACTCTATGCTCGCCGACAAGAAGCAGGAGCCGTACTCTGCCACAATCTTCTACATCCGATGTAAGCTCAGCTTTGCCCTCATCCGTGCTGCTGTAGGCAGTCTGCGAGGCCATCGGCACCGAGTGCCCTCTGAATTCAATTGACTCGTCCCAATTGGGGGTTTCTATGAGCAGCATCGGTTAAAGCTCCCTCCCGAGGCTCCTTACTAGGCTGTTTTCACAGTCATTTTTGCTCTCTCGACCGTTTTCGTAGCCATTTTTGTCGTTTTTCTTCCTGTGCTGTTGAGGGTGCACTCGCAATTGTGCTTAATTTGCCCGTACAAGATACTTGGGCCATTTATTTCACAAAAAAATGATGTTTCAAGAACATAGACAACGGGTTCCGGAACACGTGTCTGGACTGACTGTACATATACCCGACAGAACCATTGCCAAACAGTTGTTATGATATTTTGAGCAATGCACGCGACGTCCAATGGGCACACCAGTGCTGCATCCCATTCCAGATGAAAGTGTCAATAGGGTGGATGACACTGAACTGTGTCAACGATTTTCGAACACCGACAAAATCAAATGGTCTGTCCGGAAGTAAGATGTCACAATACCGCAATCTGTTAGATCGCCAAGTAATGGTTCATGGAACGGCATCGCGAATCAATTCCAACTGTTAAAGGCCATACCAAGCTACTAGACGTGGACCTCCGATTACTGGTTTTTGACAGACAGGGTTTTGAAGTTTGGTAAAATGGAAAACGGAAATAATTGTCATGGTTCACGTCAGAATCAGTGAAATCGATAACAACTGTCTTGCCTTCATGTACAGATAGTGGTGGCGGTGAAGGATCGCAATTAGCTGGTTAGTATAGAATGTATTCTAATTTTCGTCCAGGAACTCCACTGGTGGGAGGGAGGCGAACAAAGCCCTGAGGGATTTTCAAAATGGTGCCTAAGGACAAAAAACAATCAGACAATGCAACGAACGTGTGCAAGGGAGTGAGAGGGGGGGGGACTAGATGTAGCAAGCTTCAAAAAACTGCACAGAAAGTTAGCCATTGAGAATGTGATTCGTTCCAGACCTGATGACAATCGATCTGTCCTTCAGACGTTTTCTTTTTCCATTTCCTCAGCCTATGACTTATTTTCAGGGACTCTTCACGCAGATGATGGTCATGAAGCCCGAAATGTCGAGACGATACTTCTAATGGATTCGTCTGAACTGCAGTGCTCTCTTGAGTGTAGCCTAGGCAAGTTGGCGGCAAACGTATGACTAGATTTGGGTCGTCGCTACTTCTTCTCAACTTCAAATGCGCCGTAAAGCGACAATGGAATTACGAGACAAGCGGGATAGATAATGCTAGATAAAACTTTAGAAAGATCGGAAGCAGCACAGCCCTGACTGGAGTGAATGCCCCAAGGGCCTCTTGGTGTGTCAAGTGGCTGTTTTGCGGCGGAAGATGCTGACTGAAGGCGCAGGCAACATCAGTGTATGTGTTCAACGGGTATGGCAACTTCGTGTGGCTGTGTGCGACGGGCTGGCAGGACAGTGATTGCCTCAGGGGCCTCTGGGTCTGCCGCGTCGGCCAGTTCGCTTCGTCGTCCTTTCCCCGTCACGTCACTATGGGACAAGTACAATCAGCCGCAGTATACCGTACTGGCAATATAATTTGGTCACAGTGAGGCCATGAAGCGTTACATCGGCACATGTTTACCGCACGCAGGGCGTTACATGCAAAGTCGCACAGGAGCCGTTACACAGGTTTCTATATTGCCGCAGTCCATTTTTTTGCTATTGCAGGACTTCCTGCTGCGTCCAGTTTTGAACTTTTCACCACGCGGTACACGTGCTTTCACAGTATTCAGCCTTTTTTGCAATGAAAGGATCGCCGCACCCCGCCGGACGCGCATTACGAACGCAACGAAAATTTGTCGCACTAGCCTGGTCGCGCGTTACGCCGCACCCCCATGCGTTACGCGTTACGCGGCAACATATATTGCCAGTACGGTAATTATTTGTTTTGTGGCACATGCAATAACTAACCTTTCTGATGTTAGACTGACTGCTGTTTGTTGCGCCCCCCTTTTCACATTTGGTACATGTTACTGTCCCAGACATGAGCGCGTGTTGTTATCAACTGGCCTTGTTATCACTTTTGTCACTTTGGCACTTAGGGTCTGCCTCGTTTTTCTAATCAGAATGAGCGCAAATGCGCCAATTTAGCCTTATAAAGATCAGTCTATTTTATTATCCTTTCATTCAACATCATATGCCTCCACTGATGAGCTCAGGAGGAGCGAAACAGCTGTCTGGAGGGTCATTGACTCATTGTCAATATCAATCTATAATTATTATACCGGAATTATCCTCGGTAATTACCTTGATAATGGAATTTGATCATAGGAGATAGGACAGAAGCGGAACGTATAATTATACCCACATAATTATATTATTACGCGTGCTGTGGTATTATTATTATTATTATTATTATGACTTGGGGCTCCCCGCGTGCTAGTTTGTACGTGAAGTGTGTGGGTTACAGTGAGGGCTGCGTCCCACCCGCCTGTGTGGATTCACAGGAAGTGTGAGTTACGAAGTCTGAAGAAAATGTTGAACGGCCTCTGCTGGGATGACGACTACACCATAGCTCAGTGGTTAGAGCATCGCTGGCTACAAGCGAGGGTCCCTGGTTCGAGTCCTGGTGGTGACAGTCAATTTTTTCTTCAGACTTTTCCCGTTTGTCTCTTTCCCTCAAACTAGTTAATATTTTATGACTTGGGGCTCCCCGCGTGCTAGTTTGTACGTGAAGTGTGTGGGTTACAGTGAGGGCTGCGTCCCACCCGCCTGTGTGGATTCACAGGAAGTGTGAGTTACGAAGTCTGAAGAAAATGTTGAACGGCCTCTGCTGGGATGACGACTACACCATAGCTCAGTGGTTAGAGCATCGCTGGCTACAAGCGAGGGTCCCTGGTTCGAGTCCTGGTGGTGACAGTCAATTTTTTCTTCAGACTTTTCCCGTTTGTCTCTTTCCCTCAAACCAGTTAATATTATTATTATTATTATTATTAATTATCCTCGCTGTGGTGATGGTGATGTGAGTGCAGAGTTTAGATCGGCCAGGAGCGCAATGTGGTGGTGTGGTGTATTGGATTACATAATGGCCGGGTCGCCGCTACTTCTTCTCAACTTAGTTTCATTAAAAATTATAATTATGGCGATTTAGGCTGCATCTGCGCCTTTGATCCAAGAGGGTGGTGGCGTTCCCACGGCGGATGCGGAAAACTCGGCTTCCGGCCGAGTCTCACGCGAACCGTGAAATTTAGTTTTACTGATGGCGAATTAGTGATGATGGCACAAGAGCATTGAAGATTCCCTTGATGCCGGAACCAGCTACCAAAAGCGCGCGCTGAATACTAGCCACTTTCGGCCCAAGCACAATGCGTGGGAGCTGCACCAGGCGAGGAAACTCGATCATCACAAACTCTGGCCGAGCTGGGCAAATCTGTAATGGTATTACGCAGTAGCTGCATATACATACAGAGAAATTGTTAAGGTCATGAACATGTCAGATTCAACTGAAGAAGGACACATTATTGTTGTATTGTTTTGAATAGAAAAAGTGACTGAGGAATGTCTGAACGGAACCCACAATTGTTCTAAACATGCTACTTGCGAATACAACGACTACTCGCCCAACAACTACTCCTGCAGGTGCGATCGAGGAAAAGGTGAGATCTGGTCCCCCACCCTCTCCTTTGGTTTCGCTCTATATTGGCATGAAGTTGCACGGAAGGAGGCATAAAGCGAGTTGCGCAATCAATAAACAGGTAAGGTATCTTTGTACAGAGCATTTAGATGGGACTTGTGTGTGCAGCTATATCGTATTCTTCCACACTGCTCAATGATGTATGCTCGTGTTTCCGTTTTTGCTTTAGCTGACTGCTTTGCAACCGTGTTCGACTCTCAGGTCTTGGGCCACTGTGCTAAAGTCGGGGAGGTGGTGAAGGTCGACTGCATAGATGACTACATTCCTACTAAATCACCGTACATGCTATGCAAGCACTCTAAGTTGGACAATGTTACACAGTACAATGTTACAGCTGTCTTCTGTCAACGTGAGTTGTAAAAATTTAATAAATCGTTGGGTGGAAATCGCTGGGTGGATCAAGGTAAAAAAATTTATGTTTCGCGTTTTACACAGTTAAACTGAGACTTTGACATCCGCAGGGACGCCACCACACTGCAAAAATCAAAGTCCTAGTGCAGCTCCAAGCGTTCGTTGAGTTTGAGTAGATCAGAACCACTGTAACAAGTAGCCGAGTGGTAGGCGCGGTGAAATCAACAAGAATTAGTTTTATTCTACTTCTCTCAGGTACATACCTGAGATAATTATTAGTGAAAGAAGAAGCGGCAAAATAATAACTTTCTCTCCGGTGCTCACCTAGAGGTTGACTACTTCTTCTTCGAGTTAGCTTTGTCGTTGCTATCTAATCTAATCAAAACAGAAATGCGCAGCAGCTTTTATGCAGCAGACGCCGTACGCTTACATACGTAGAGAAACTAAAGCTCCGTATTAGTTCCGTACTACTTCCGTATTGTTTGGGCAGGGATACTACACCCTCCCTTCCTACAGATAATCACGCCCTCGTGATTTTCAAAAAAATAGTGAAGAGTTATGAACACAGCGTCAACCGGAAGATGGCAAATTATATCGGAAATGATAACGTTTAGAGTAGACAGAAGAAATGAACTGATAACAAATCATAACATAGAAGTTAGAGCACACCAGGTTCACACGATATCTCGGGGTCAAAAGGGAAAGAATGGTCCTCCAAACAGGACGTGAAAGACAGCCACATTCCTGTACATCGCGGGCTCAAACTGCCAGGAAATTCACAATTTCAAAAAAATGCACTGCATCGTGGGAACTTACTCCGGTACACACCTGGAGTGTAAAAGGGGATTCTCACACACTTCTCTCACCAGGTTATTTAGGTAAACCATGGCTCGCCATGATCAGACGCCTACCAAACTAAACTGGATTCACACACTCGCATAAAGGAAGACTGAAGAGAACAGGGAGACTGAAGGAAGGCAGGAAAGAAAATGCCATAACTGGAATCAGCGTTAGTAACCACGGCGGCGGCTGAAGCTACGACGGAGGGCAAGCCAGGTTTTATCTTCATCTTGGTTTAGAGCGGCTAGCTCGGCGTCAGACAAATGACCTCCCTCCTCCTCTTGAATCGTGGTCTTCACATTGTCGACAGCATCGCTGTGCGCGACGTAAAGAGTGATGGTCTAGCCAGGAAGAGTGTTGACGAAAATCTGCATCCCACCACGGAGGCGAAGTACCAAGTGAAGAGTGGGCTCCTGCTTCCGACTGCGTGCCGGCGAAAATCAAACGCTGCTGGTCTTGGGGAATACCCGCCTTGTCTTGGGCAGCAGCCTGCCTGTTGTCGTCCTCATCAGCTTCGCCATCACCACTAGTAGTTAACATGTAGGTAGCGGGTCGCTTGGAATCGCCATCGGAGTCTCCAGTGGATGCCATGCGGAGGGAGGGGTGATCCACGCTAGCACCCTGACTGTGCTGCAAGCTAATAAGTAGAGCCAAGCCCAGGACGGGTAGAAACACGATTCTCATCTTAATTCGTCGCACGGAGCTGCAGCGGGTTGAGCCATGGGGGTCTGGGGTCGAATCACGTTGTTTTATTTCAAAAATACACCGCTGCCACCAATGTAACAGGTAGCCGAGTGGTAGGCGCGGTGCAATTAACAAGAATTACTTTTATTCTACTTCTTTCAGGTACACACCTGAGATATAATTAGTAGTGAAAGAAGAAGCGGCAAAATAAATAACTTTCTCTCCGGTGCTCACCTAGAGGTTGACTACTTCTTCTTCGAGTTAGCTTTGTCGTTGCTATCTAATCTAATCTTCCTCAAAACAGAAATGCGCAGCCGCTTTAATGCAGCAGACGCCGTACGCTTACATACGGAGATACACTAAATACTACTTCCGTATTGGTCGGGCAGGGATACTACACCACCACCACCAGTTTGGTTAAAAACCCGAAAATCCCATTAGCTCCATCCATGTTTCTCTCTCGCCATAGATGTCACTAAGATTTCATGACGAAACGAAACAGGGTGGAGCTAGGTGCCGGATAGTTCTTTGGATCCTGTTGATTTGTGAGTCTCTTTTGCCGTGTTGGGGAGCATATAATCTGGGTACATCAGTGTTGGTGTTATTATTCTGATACTATATATGGGCATCAACCAGCGAAAACAGCCCTTAGGGTCAACATTTTCAAAATTCCTTTTTGGTTAGAAATGAACCACATCTACTGAAGGACCTCAGCCAAGAAAAAGTTCAATATTCCGATTCAAAACGGGTGTTTACACCAATATACAAGGTGTACTCCAAATTGGTGCAATGCATGTATACGATGTATGTGTACAATGAATATTCAGCATTCAAAGGTGGGTGGGCAGCTTGAATACTTTTGAAATAGTGTAATGGGTAGCCGAGTGGTAGGCGCGGTGAAATCAACAAGAATTACTTTTATTCTACTTCTTTCAGGTACACACCTGAGATATAATTATTAGTGAAAGAAGAAGCGGCAAAATACCTTTCTCTCCGGTGCAAACCTGGAGGTTGAATAGCTCGTTATTATCAAAATCTCATCTAAACAGAAATGCGCAGCAGCTTTTATGCAGCAGACGCCGTACGCTTACATACGGAGATACACTAACTATACATCAGGCAAAGCTCCATATTAGTTCCGTACTACTTCCGTATTGGTCGGGCAGGGATACTACACCCTCCCTTCCTACAGATTATCACGCCCTCGTGATTTTCAAAAAAATAGTGAAGAGTTACGAACACAGCGTCAACCGGAAGATGGCAAATTATATCGGAAATGATAGCGTTTAGAGTAGACAGAAGAAATGAACTGATAACAAATCATAAAATAGAAGTAAAAGCACACCAGGTTCACACGATCTCACGGGGTCAAAAGGGAAAGAACTGTCCTCAAACAGGACCTGAAACCACAGCACTCTTGCTGCACTACGCTGGCACAACCCGCCAGGAACATCGCAGTTCAAAAACCGAACTGAATACACTATAACTATAAGGGGCGTTGTCACACACATTGTCCCACGTTAGCTGGGTAAACCGTGGCTCACCATGATCAGACGCCTACCAAACTAAACTGGATTCACACACTCGCATAAAGGAAGACTGAAGAGAACAGGGAGACTGAAGGAAGAGAGGAAAGAAAATGCCATACCTGGAATCAGAGTTAGTAACCATGGCGGCGGCTGGAGCTACGGCGGAGGGCAAACCAGGTTTTATCTTCATCTTGGTTGAGCCGGTCACTCAGAGCGGCTAGCTCGGCGTCAGACAGATCATCCCCCCTCCTCGTCTTGAAACGTGGTCTTCACATTGTTGATAGCATAGCTTGGCGCGACGTAAAGAGTGATGGTGTGGCCAGAAAGAGTGTTGACGAAAATCTGCATCCCACCACGGAAGCGAAGTACCAAAGTGAAGAGTGGGCTCCTGCTTCCGACTGCGTGCCGACGAAAATCAAACGCTGCTGGTCTTGGGGAATACCCTCCTTGTCTTGGGCAGCAGCCTGCCTGTTGTCGTCCTCATCAGCTTCGCCATAACCACCAGTAGTTAACATGTAGGTAGCGGGTCGCTTGGAATCGCCATCGGAGTCTCCAGTGGATGCCATGCGGAGGGAAGGGTGATCTACGCTAGCACTCTGACTGTGCTGCAAGCTAATAAGTAGGGCCACGCCCAGGACGGGTAGAAACATGATTCTCATCTTAATTCGTCGCACGGAGCTGCAGCGGGTTGAGCCATGGGGGTCTGGGGTCGAATCACGTTGTTTTATTTCAAAATACACCGCTGCCACCAATGTAACAGGTAGCCGAGTGGTAGGCGCGGTGCAATTAACAAGAAATACTTTTATTCTACTTCTTTCAGGTACACACCTGAGATATAATTATTAGTGACAGAAGAAGCGGCAAAATAACTTTCTTTCCGGTGCAAACCTGGAGGTTGAATAGCTCGTTATTATCAAAATCTCATCTAAACAGAAATGCGCAGCAGCTTTTATGCAGCAGACGCCGTACGCTTACATACGGAGATACACTAACTATACATCAGGCAAAGCTCCATATTAGTTCCGTACTACTTCCGTATTGGTCGGGCAGAGATACTACAATAGTTAAGTAAGCAGCTATAATGACAAAGAATAGCTGATGACAGCGGAGAAATGATCGACATATTCGCAGCTGCATCCTGCGTGGAGTCGTTCCGCAATCTCGTCTTCCATTTCTTCCTCCGCAGCTGAAGACACGGCGTCGCTGCCGTCACTAGCCCCAGACTCAGAATTTATCTCAGGTGACGACTCCTCATCTTCCGACTCTGACGAGTCATCGGCCAGCTTGAGCCGCATCGGAGCAGGAGATGACGGCTGCGATTCCGCCTCGCTGTCGACATCGATGTCGGAACCAAAGAACGTTTCATCCTCATTCTGAACTTCAGCGGCTACTTCAGCACTCCCCACCAGGCTCGAGCTAGCTGTAGACAATGACTGCTGTGTGTGCTCTGCGAACAGCTCTGGTGTCCGCAGCCATCGCAACAAGATCAAGGAACACTGGAGTTGCCACTCGACACCACTTCAACTTCAAAAAAAATTACTTGAAGCAAGGAGTTCAAGAAGTCGTCGCGCTGTTCGCATCGCGATCAAAAATCGTTGAACGTCACAAATCGATCTTTTTCTCGAAAAAATTACGAAATCTCTAAGGGTCGTTTTCGCTGATTCCGGCTCATATACTATTGTCTTTTTCCATAAATAAGCTCACTATCCGACTTTAATAGAGTGCTTTGCATACAGGTGATTGGAGCGGTGTCTTTAGGAGGTGCTTGAAGAGACAATAGGCTGACCTTGTAGGCGATGGTGCCATCGTGATAATAAAGAATTCAAGCTGCAAGATAATTTGACGTGACGCGAAGGTTTCTCTCATGTTATTTGGCTCGCGCTTTGGAAACCAACGCTAGCCTGCTGCATATCACGGCTTGGCGTAGCTTGTTATTATGCCAAAT